TCTGAGTATGATACACATTAATCTCCAGTCAAATTGGTGAGTGATATTAAGATATATTTTCCTTCTGTTATGTAATTGTGTATATATATAACCATTTATTATTTTTAATATACAGTCCACAAATTTATATATTTACCAGTATTCCTGGTGTATTTATATTTTATTTAATTAGTAGGTCCAGAGCAACTTGTGGTTATGACAGTGGTAGGTATCGAAGGGGGAGATTTTTTGCGACCTAGGTGTCCCAAATTCCTACTTGTCTGTGTAACATTGATAAATAATAATTATCTTTGTTATCATTTACTGTTATGTACATAATTAGTTACATTCAGATAAATGCAATTTTCCACATAACCTTTCTTATCTCTGTTTCTCTCTACCACTTTTTTTCACAGCTGTATTCTACGTCAGTCCTTCCCCGTCCCCATCCTTGCTATCCCTCTTATGACCTAACACATACTCTTGTCATACTTATGTTAATTACTCTACACCTGGGACAAGAAATTTACGGTACTCTCACTTGTTTTTGTGGCCTTTTACGTTTGGTCCTGCAGGTGCAGGTGTGGAGACCCATAGCCTCAGAGATGTCAATAAAAAGGCTTCAAGGAAAATAGATTTATTCTTGAGGTTGTTTGAGCACGCACACACACACACACACACACATACACACACACACACACACACACACACACACACACATACAGACACACACACACACACACACACACACACACACACACACACACACACACACACACACACACACACACACACACACACACACACACACACATATATATAATATATATATATATATATATATATATATATATATATATATATAATACATATATAATGGGGTCCACCTCTGGTGTAAATTGTGGGACCCACAGCCTCGGAGAAGTGGATAAAAAGGCTTCAAGGAAGAATATTTGGATTTCTTCCTGAAGCCGTTTGAATATTCCGCTTCCCCTACCACGCCATCTTTTCATTCTTTTTTACCAATAGGAGTATTTTATTACATAATATGGTACAAAAGGTTTAAGAGATACATTGTTGATATAAAGATGGCATATACAGTACATGAGGTGTGAGAGATACATGTCTAGTACATATTGTTACATGTTTGTCACTGATTATAATGCGAAAATCTTATCCAGCTCTTCAGAACTGTGGCGCGTGCCCAATATATATATATATATATATATATATATATATATAAAATTATATATATATATATAAAATTTTATATATAATATTATATATATATATATATATATATATATTATATATATAATTGGAAATATTGCAAACCAAGCGATGTAGAATGCAAAACAACTAGGGGGGGGAACAGAATGATAACTCTAGGCACCTCTTGTTGCAATCAACACACCATCAGGAGCTTGCAAAGTTGCAGAAAAGAGGAAGATGTCCAAACGAAAACGATCCCAGTGAAGACGTCCTCTGGGATCATATTCGCTTGGACATCTTTTCTGCAACTTTGCAAGTTGCTGGATCAACGTGTAACGCAAGTTGCACGACAAGGTATTGTCCAGTGTGGGTAGATTGGTAAAGCACTGCGTACCTTGTGCCAAGGTTCGTAGGTTCGAGTCTCCTTCAGCCAGAGATCAGTGTTACTAAAAACAACAGACATAGCCCACTCCACAAAGGGGGCAGTAAAGCAACAGCAAAGAACTACAGACCAATAGCACTAACATCCCATATCATAAAAATCTTTGAAAGGGTCCTAAGAAGCAAGATCACCACCCATCTAGAAACCCATCAGTTACACAACCCAGGGCAACATGGGTTTAGAACAGGTCACTCCTGTCTGTCTCAACTACTGGATCACTACGACAAGGTCCTAAATGCACTAGAAGACAAAAAGAATGCAGATGTAATATATACAGACTTTGCAAAAGCCTTCGACAAGTGTGACCATGGCGTAATAGCGCACAAAATGCGCGCTAAAGGAATAACAGGAAAAGTCGGTCGATGGATCTATAATTTCCTCACTAACAGAACACAGAGAGTAGTCGTCAACAGAGTAAAGTCCGAGGCAGCTACGGTGAAAAGCTCTGTTCCACAAGGCACAGTACTAGCTCCCATCTTGTTCCTCATCCTCATATCCGACATAGACAAGGATGTCAGCCACAGCACCGTGTCTTCCTTTGCAGATGACACCCGAATCTGCATGACAGTGTCTTCCATTGCAGACACTGCAAGGCTCCAGGCGGACATCAACCAAATCTTTCAGTGGGCTGCAGAAAACAATATGAAGTTCAACGATGAGAAATTTCAATTACTCAGATATGGTAAACATGAGGAAATTAAATCTTCATCAGAGTACAAAACAAATTCTGGCCACAAAATAGAGCGAAACACCAACGTCAAAGACCTGGGAGTGATTATGTCGGAGGATCTCACCTTCAAGGACCATAACATTGTATCAATCGCATCTGCTAGAAAAATGACAGGATGGATAATGAGAACCTTCAAAACTAGGGAGGCCAAGCCCATGATGACACTCTTCAGGTCACTTGTTCTATCTAGGCTGGAATATTGCTGCACTCTAACAGCACCTTTCAAGGCAGGTGAAATTGCCGACCTAGAAAATGTACAGAGAACTTTCACGGCGCGCATAACGGAGATAAAACACCTCAATTACTGGGAGCGCTTGAGTTTCTAAACCTGTATTCCCTGGAACGCAGGAGGGAGAGATACATGATTATATACACCTGGAAAATCCTAGAGGGACTAGTACCGAACTTGCACACGAAAATCACTCACTACGAAAGCAAAAGACTTGGCAGACGATGCACCATCCCCCCAATGAAAAGCAGGGGTGTCACTAGCACGTTAAGAGACCATACAATAAGTGTCAGGGGCCCGAGACTGTTCAACTGCCTCCCAGCACACATAAGGGGGATTACCAACAGACCCCTGGCAGTCTTCAAGCTGGCACTGGACAAGCACCTAAAGTCAGTTCCTGATCAGCCGGGCTGTGGCTCGTACGTTGGTTTGCGTGCAGCCAGCAGCAACAGCCTGGTTCATCAGGCACTGATCCACCAGGAGGCCTGCTCACAGACCGGGCCGCGGGGGCGTTGACCCCCGAAACTCTCTCCAGGTAAACTCCAGGTATTTCGCCTGCTCTTGCGAATTCCTTGTATATATATATATATATATAATATATATATATATATATTATATATATATATATATATTATATATATATATATATATATATATATATATATATATATATATATATATATATATATAATTTATATTTTCTTTATAATGACAACCATCCTCATTTTACAATATTCGTATTTTACACATTACTAAGCGTTAATTTCTGAATGTTCCTCTTTTTAATACTCCTCATTGTCCCTTCTGTACGCAATTTTTTTCCTTCCCCTCCTTCTTCCCTTCCTGCTTCACCCATTCCTCCTCGCCAGCGGCCAACTTGACGTCATCTTCCGGACCCTTGCAGGACAGTCCCACACCCTGTCTTCCCTGACTCAGTGGTCGATGCTCGGCTTACAACTGAGAGGTCCTTAGTTTGGGTTTCGAGCCTGGCGTAACATATGGACTAATTTCCTTACACTTGCTGCCCCTGCCCACTTAACAGTAAAAATAGGTACACGGTGTGTTAGCCCACTATTGTGGATCACGTCGAGAGGGAAAAATACTATGTAGATGTGTTAAAAGAACTATTTCTACTGGAGGTCATATCCTGTGCAAGTCACTCTAGTTCTGCTGCAAGCCTTCAAGTTTTGGGTAACAGGTTTCCGCACAATGCCTGTCAAATAATGTTATGAAAATACCATGCCACTGTCTTCCTTGTCTATACAACTTTCCCCGTTCGATGGGAAAGGTGTATAGGGAAAGGGCAGCCACTGAGCGAGGTAGACATGGCTATGTCAGATTTTCATTGTTTTAATAATAATAATAATTATAATAATTATTTTCATTATCCTCGTCTCTCATCCTTTTTCAACCACACCTGTGATAGTTGTATCCTCCCTCCCTCCCTCCTTCACTCCTTTGTCTTGTATCCTCCTTCGCTTCATCTCTAGAGTTGCTGCTCCCACATTCTTCAATACACTCCCACTTCCTCACCTCACCATCTTTTCCCTTTCTGTTACAACTCTTCTTTCCTTCAGCACCTCCCCTTGTGTGTGTGTGTGTGTGTGTGTGTGTGTGTGTGTGTGTGTGTACTCACCTAGTTGAGGTTGCGGGGGTCGAGTCCGAGCTCCTGTGTGTGTGTGTGTGTATGTGTGTGTGTGTGTGTGTGTGTGTGTGTGTGTGTGTGTGTGTGTGTGTGTGTGTGTGTGTGTGTGTGTGTGTGTGTGTGTGTGCGTGCGCGCACTGAGAGTTTACTTTAATCCCTATTTAAGAGATTAAAGTACTTTTGTCTGATGGTGAAAAAGTTACGTGCAGCCTTAATGACCCTCGTGTAGTAGATAGGCTTTTTCAACCCAATTATTAACTAAACCCCTCCAGTAACCTTCCTCCACCATAACAGTCTCCAACAAGTCTCCACCACCTCTAACACTCCACTGCCACAACTTCACAACTTTCCCCCCCTCAACCCTCCACCATCCCTTCCAGCAAGCCACTCCACCACCACCCCCTTCCCCAAAAGCAAGCTTCAGGCCTGCTCAGACCGAGCCGCGGGAACTTTGACCCCGAAACCCTCTCCAGGTAAACTCCAGGTAAACCACCCCTTCCAGCAAGCCACTACCACCACCACCTCATCCAGTGAGCCGCGTCTCCTTTACAACCACCATCTCCGGCTACCCACCATCACCAACACCACCACGTCCTCCTTCAACTCGCCAGCACCACCACCATATCCGGCAACCCACCTCCACTACAACCAACTCCTCCGGCGACTTACCATCAACTTCTGCAACCCACCTCCTCCGGCAACCCGCCACCACCTTCGCCAACGCACCACCACCTTCGCCAACGCACCACCACCACCTGAACACAAACAAATCAGTGGGTGGAGACTGGAGAACACGGGTGGTGTTGGTGTGTCAGTCTGCCAAAGGAAGTGAGAGAGGTGGGTGAAGCTGCAGCGCGCTCCTCCTGCCTCACTAAACCCTAGTAACTGGACCTAAATTACTGTCTGCTGCTACACTTGAACTACTGAAAACACTTAAAATGTACTCTACCATGGTGATCCTCAAAGCGCTCAGAATGTATCATTTGAAACTGTGATTTTCGAAGTATTTGTAATGTACTCTGGAATCGTGAACAAATATTTGATAATATATATACACAGAAGATACCTAAGGGTCAGGTCCCCAGTTTAGACACTGACATTACCACTTGCAGGAGTGAGAGATACTGGAGGAAGTGTAGAGTAAATGTTGAAAAGTAGGGGCGCCATAGACATGTTTAGAGAACACTCGACATTCGTAGCCCAAGACGCAACCTGTTTCCAGCAGATATGAGAAGTTTAGGTGGAACAAATATAGTTTTCAAGAGGAAACTGGAACAGCAAGTACCAGATCAATAAGGTTGTGATGGTTGTTTAGGTCTGCAGGCAGAAACAGCCTGATTGCTCGAAACAGAAGTTAGTCTCACCCAGACTGCAATGATAATAGATCTTTTGAACCTCTCGAACACAGGTATGTCACAGGAAATATTAACATGTACGTGGTGTGTTAGTACTATAATGTGTAGCAGAAACATGTGCTACATATATATAATATGTATTGTAATACAAATATGGGTTAATATGGAGCCCATTCCTTTTGAGAAATCACGCATTATTTTATTTCTTGAAGTATAAGCATGTTATCTATACCCTTGCACAAATTGTTATTTCATGTGCGAATTGTTAATCTTGGAGCTATTAGCAAAAAAAAAAAAAAAAATGTTTTGGAACGTACAGCACGTCAGGGCCCATCAATAGTTCGTGTTGACGCTCCTGGCCATTTATAACGAACAAGCAAAAATCAAATAAAATATAGTCTCATATCTACCGATGGCGGAGTGAGGTTAATTGTTTTAGGTTGGGTTTCGTTAGGTTAGGTTACGTTTCTTATAATTACAAAAAACAATATCCATGACAATCAACCTAATAATGGATATTTTTGGGAATAATTTACGGCCAAACTCGCACGTTACAGGATCCCTTTAATTGACCGAACGCATTACATTACAACCTATGTATATATAGTGTGTGGTACAACACATGTACTCCAAAGGAACGACCAACTGAAGTACTGTTGAGTTCAGTTACAGATAGTGTAATTGTGAAGTGAAAAATGTTTAGTAGCGCTTTAAATAACTAGTAGCACACTAAACGATAACACTATCTAAACGCGAAGCGTACTATCTAAACCGGTAGCACTTGAAACAAATGGTAGCGCACCGTCTAAACCAATAGACTAGTCTAAAGTGGTGACACATTTTGTAACTGACATTGTACCATCTAAACCTATGTAAAGGTATAAACAGCTGGTAGCGCGCTATCCAAAATTATCCAAATAGCCGGAATCTTTCGACCAAGTGCAGTTATTGTGGGTGACGGTCACGTACGTTTTATAACACATTTTAGCCGTGTGTGTGTGTGTGTGTAGGGGTGTGGAATGTTAGCTACGATGTGTCGGGGGCGTGTATCAAGGTCTCAGTGACTTAGCTTACCTGGAAAAGCTAAGTATGGAATATATCGTCACTTTAGTTCACTTAGGAGCGTTTGCACTGCCTTAATACGACACCATTTTGCAGTTTCTTAATATCTCGTGCCTTCAGGGAAGGTGCCTGGGTGCCGATGACGCCCTTCGTTCAAGAAACTGAAGCTACCTTACTTTTCCTTTAATCAAACCTAATTGCCGCTGTATGATGTATGTACGGATTTAGTGTTTCTCCGCTGTTATAACATAATTGTAATATGAGAGGTGTGGTTCCCAGCAGGGTGTGGAGTTTTGCCCAGGGTGTGGCCCACATTACTAAACATCACTGACTCTCTCTTACCAACCCTTAAATTGTTCTTTTTTTTTAATAAATACGTATGATTACGTTTCCTACGGCTGTTTTCTATATATAGACGTGTAGTGTGTGTGTGTGTGTGTGTGTGTGTGTGTGTGTGTGTGTGTGTGTGTGTGTGTGTGTGTGTGTGTGTGTGTGTGTGTGTGTGTGTGTGTGTAAAATGACCCTGTAGTTGCCTACTTTGTTACAGATGCAGTTATGCTTGTGGCGTCCTGTGTCAATAATTTGTCTGTTTGTACATGTATTTGCCTAATCATTAGCGATAACCATAAATTAGGTATAGGTTTGGCAGGATAAATCTGGAGTGTTTAATGGGCGGACTTGCTGTGACGTTCAGTTTGTGCGGGCTTGTTTGGAGCAGACACACACATGCCAGTTCGTATAGCATATTTTCAACTGTAAACTATGTACTAAAGACAAAGCGCTCTTGATCTTTGGATAAACCTGTTTACCTCCCATTCTATAGAGCTGATGCAAGTCTTACTGTTTAGAGTCTTCCACATAAAAATAATAATACTAGTAATATAATAGATTTTCTAAGGTTTAAACATAAACAAACGAGATGTGTTACAAGGTGTGTACATGATACTTTAGCCACAGAATCTTTAAAAACTTTTACCTTTCTTAAGGTTAAAGGAAAGCCTTCTTTTTCCTTCATGTTGTGAAGAATTTTGCTCTTCATTATTAACTTCATCTTTCTCCTCCTTCCTCTTCCTCCTTTTTGTTAACCTCTTTTTTTCTTCTCTTCCCCTCCGTTCTTTTCTTCCTCCTCAGCTTCCGTGGATAAAATAATAATAGTTACAGTGAATTGCTATGATGATTAGTGGTTTGTAAAAGAGGTAACGAGACGAGTCTATGTCAACATCACATGAAACAGCATAACTCACGAGGCTTCCTGCATGGCGAGTACTCTTATCATGTTTCATGACTTCATGCTGTCAAGACCTGCTTGAGCGAGACATTAAGATAAAGGCTATCAACAGCAACAGCCTGGTAGCTTTTACGTATTTTGGCAAGTTATAGAAGATGCTTGCAGATTTTTGCAGGTTATGACAACAATGTGACAGGTTTTCCTATAGTTAACAGCTTTTAGCAAGTTATAGCAGATGTTTGTAGATTTTTAGCAAGTTGTAGCAGATGTTTGTAGATTTTTTAGCAAGTTATAGCAGATGTTTGTAGATTTTTAGCAAGTTATAACAGATGTTTGTAGATTTTTAGCAAGTTATAGCAGGTTTGTAGATTTTTAGCAAGTTATAGCAGATGTTTGTAGATTTTTAGCAAGTTAAAGCAGACTTTAACAATATATAGCAGGTTATGGCAGAGATGCTGGCAAACACACGCTAGGTTAGTGTTGCCAGTGAGTAAATTAACGTTTTTTTTATTAATTAGGCTTCAGAAAAAACATTAAGTCTCCTTCCGTTGTGGAGGTTCAGTAAGCATCGTTCGTCTTCAGTCACTGAACTCTCGACTCGATTTTATTCTTCATTCATGGAGGACGCCGTGAGAATGTGGTTTAAGCAAAAAAAAAAAAAAAAAAAAAAAAACATGTAAAGATCGAGCAACTGATGTGAAGTCATTGAGAGTTCAGTGATGTAGAATGTGTGTAGTTCCCATAACAATTGTGCAAGGAACTAGAGAGAGAGAGAGAGAGAGAGTGAGGGAACTTTCCCCGTTTTTTGTTCTTTGCTTACTTTATATATGACCCATACGAGTTTAGCAGTTATTTTTAATATGCTATAAAATATTTTTCTTGCTGTTTTTTCTACATTAAAGTTTATGTACTTAGCTGGTCCCCTTCAGAAGAGGGCCTTATAGACTGAAATTTACTCCTACTGTGTCACCTTCGGCCAGAGATTAGTGTTTGTGAATATTTCGCCTGTTCTGCGAATTCTAATCATTGTAAAAATCTCTCGTCGGTCGATGCATGCAGGGGATGAGATGAAATACCTAATACCACCTGCCTGAATGCTGGCTGCCTTGGATCAAAACGTCTAACTTTGGCTGGGCACGAAGGTATTGTCCAGTGTGGTACGGTGGTTAGAGCACTTCGTACCTTGTCCCAAGGTTTGTAGGTTCGAGTCTCCTTCGACCAGAGATTAGAGTTTGTGTGTGTATATATATATATATATATATATATATATATATAATATATATATATATATATATGAACGCTTTAACCCTAAATGTATTCTCTCTGGAACGAAGAAGATACAGGATATGGTAATATATATGGGGAAAGTACTTGAGGGACTAGTCCCATATCTGCACACTGCCATAACATATTGGAGAGGAAGATACGGGAGAAGTGTAAAATAAACCCAGTGAAAAGCAAGGCCTCTGTGGGTACAATAAGAAAACATTGTATCAACATCCGTGGTCCCATACTATTTAATATCTTACTAAAAATATCAAATACTACTGGGACCAATGTAGAAGTTTTCACGAGGAAACTCGACAAGTATGTCCACCAACTGCAGATCAGCCAGGCCGTGATGGAAGTGAGCAGCAACAGCCAGTAGCAACAACCTGGTTGACCAGGCAATGACCAAACAAGCCTGGCCCAGGGCCGGCCTCTGGGAGTAGAAAAACTCGAAACTCATCAGTGGTGAAGGTATATTAAAAATACGCAATGATTTACTTCATCTGTTATTCAGTATATTAAATGTAATTCCAGTTGGTATTTTCCAGTATCTAGAGTTAGTTTAATGTTTATTATGCACCCCATACCCATCCTGTGGGCGGTAGTCAAAAGATTACAGAGGTACATAATTGGTCCAGGGACTGGACTCCAAAGTTTTGATAGCTGAGCAAGTTACAAAGGTAATGAACTAGATCTGGTCATAATCATGACCAAGTTACAAAGGTAATGAGCTCCAGGTAGAGCTGGTCACACTCATGACAAGTTTCAAAGGTAATGAATGATAAACACGTTGTTACATGATTACTATCATAGACAAATTACAGAGTAATGAGCAGTTAACAAACATAGTAGGGAATTCATCCATTGCCCCAACAACAGATGTTGCTAGGTGCCTGTCTCTCCTCGGCAGACAGCCATTGCAAACAGCAGCAAGTTGCCCAGGGATCTGCTGCTTGCACGAGCACCATCGACCCTCCCCAAGAGGTCCAAGAAGCCAGTGACTCCGTTAGCAGCCCGATGGAGAGCTGCCCTAGGGACATGTCAGCGTCTTGGTGGACGCCAAGTTGATTGAAGATCCCAGGGCCTCGTGTGCACGTATGTTGAAGCTTGAGGAACTGAGTACACACTGCCTGTGGCACACCTGACAGCTGCCTCGCGGTCGAACTCCACGATGCTGGCCCTGTAGTGGAAGTTCCTGTGATCCCGGCACTCCCTGCAGTGCCATCGCTGACATCGTGGGTTAGGGGAGAAGTACCCTCTACAGATGGGGTGGCGCTGGGAGTTGGGTGGGTGAGGCGGGGGAGACACGACATTAAGTAAATATTTTTAAGCGGTTGTGCTCAACCTACCAAATCTCGAGCAAATTCTGACCAAATTAAATCAGCGCATTGGACGGTCCATTAGCTTTATAATGGTAAAAATGACTAATTAATTACCTTAACATTTTTATATTTGTATTAGTTATTTAGGTATTTAAGTGCCATCTAAAATTAAGTGTCCTTATCTAAAATTTAATTGGCCTTACCAAAAACTTCATTGTGTTTTAAATAAAAAGTCGACAGTATATAATACGGCATTTTATTGAGGAGACGTTTCATCATTGGTGAGAATTGATTGCCCCTGGTGGACGAAACGTTTTCTCAATAAAATGCCATGAACAGATCGGTGAAGGGATCTCTGTGAACGGTTGTGGGAGAGAGTGGAAGCCTCGTTAAACAGGCAGGTGCTGTGCGAGATGAAAGGAAAAAAAAGACACACACTTCACAGTTCATCTGCTGACCTTTGAACTTGTGAGGTCAACCCGGTCTGAGTCACTGTAGTGTGTGTGTGTGAGAGATAGATAGAGAGAGAGAGAGAGAGAGAGAGAGAGAGAGAGAGAGAGAGAGACTGCGATGTAATATACAACATTAGAGTTAATTCTCAAAATCAGAATATGTTGTTATGCGCTTCTGTATCTTCTTCGAGGAATATTTAGAAGCGTTATTAACCGAAGAGGCAACACTGGTTAAACATAAAACTAATATTTATAATATATTTTGTCTCTCATAGGTGTTTTTTTTTAAATGCCAGCAAATTAACATTGGACTTAGTTCAGCACTTATTATGGAACAAGAATTAATGAAATATTAGTTTAATAAACAATCTGCTTGAAATAAACAATCTGCGTTGAAATATTCATATTGAGAATTCCTTTTTTACAAATAACTTTTAAAAACAATAATATATCTGCATATTTGTAAAGCAGTTTATAAGATTATTGCCACATCAAACTACTGCCTCGTTAATTGTTGAAAATAATGAACCTGGTTAAGAAAAAGAACTCTACATCTACTCTGAAGTTGTAGATAGTGATGATAGTTCATGTACGACCACTGTTGGACTAATTTATGCTTCGTTGTTGTTGTTTCAAGCATAACAATTTTGTCGAAGTATACAAATACCAAAAGACAGTAGAAAATCTACGCTAATAGGAGGATACGTCTAATGCAAATTTCCTGGAAGTCACTAAGCATTATAGAAATAGAAACATTATCTAGAAATTGTATATCGAGTGAGTTTAAGCAAGAAAACAATATCTGGAAAGTTTAGTGTGAGTGTGAATTACGAGAAGATCATTACTTGAATACAAGACGTCAGCTGTAGTCTACGGATCTTGTTATCTGCTAGTCGCCATGCCCGCTAGATATTACCAAGGTAAGTTTATTCACCTTCAGTATTAAAGTTTTCTTGATATATGATTCCAGTGTCTCGACCCCTGAAAGCACAACTCAGTGAGTACACACACACACACACACATACACACAGTCAGTAGTCAGTAAGTGGAATAGTTTGGGAAGCGATGTAGTGGAGGCAGGATCCAGACATAGCTTTAAGCAGAGGTATGATAAAGCTCACGGTTCAGGGAGAGTGACCTAGTAGCGATCAGTGAAGAGGCGGGGCCAGGAGCTCGGACTCGACCCCCGCAACCTCAACTAGGTGAGTACAACTAGGTGAGTACACACACACACACACACACACACACACACACACACACACACACACACACACACACACACACACACACACACACACACACACACACACACACACAAGAAGGGTTCCTCTCTAGCTCAAACTGTGGGACTCAGAGCTTCGAAGTGGAGACTGAGACTGAGACTCGACCCCTGCAACCGCAACTAGGCGAGTACATAGAGTGAAGCATATGAAGATTCTCCAGCAGGTCCAGAGGTTTCTAGGAGACTGGTGCCGGACCTGCAGGTCATGACCTCTCATCACTTGAAGATTTAGGAGGTGATATGATCACGACATGCAAGATCCTCAGTGCCGGATCAGCCGGGCTGTGGTTCGTACGTTGGATTACGTGCGGCCAGCAGTAACAGCCTCGTTGATCAGGCCCTGATCCACCGGGAGGCCTGGTCGTGGACCGGGCCGCGGGGACGTTGATCCTCGGAATGCCCTCCAGGTAGACTCCTCCAGTTAGATATGTACGGGATAGACAACGACTGGGAACATAATGAGGAGCTGCTGAAGGAATCTAAACACAAAGATGGAACAAACGAGGGTTAGAAAGAGTTTCCTGGTGTAAAGGTAGTGAAGTAGGAACGAGTTTGGCAAACAGCTCCACTTTGTCTATTGACCCCACGGAATAGAATATAGGTAAGTTCAAGAAATGTTATTGGTTCTTATATTAAGCATCTTTAGAAAATAGTATTTATTAAATATCTTGAGGTAACATCGTAGGTTCTCATTAAACATTTTGAGGGGAAAAAATTGGTTCATATTAGAAATCTCCAGTATATCCTAAATTCTTATTGTACTTCATCGGGAAACAATACAGCTTTATATTAAACAACTTAGCAAACATTAGTACGTTTAATTGCACATCTTCAGCAAACATTGCTTCTTGGTGCACATCTTCAGCAAACACTGCTTCTTGTTGCACGTCCTCAGCAAACACTGCTTCTTGTTGCACATCTTCAGCAAACATTGCTTCTTGTTCCACATCTTCAGCAAACACTGCTTCTTGTTCCACATCTTCAGCAAACACTGCTTCTTGTTCCACATCTTCAGCAAACACTGCTTCTTGTTGCACATCTTCAGCAAACACTACTTCTTGTTGCACATCTTCAGCAAACACTACTTCTTGTTGCACATCTTCAGCAAACACTACTTCTTGTTGCACATCTTCAGCAAACACTACTTCTTGTTGCACATCTTCAGCAAATACTGCTTCTTGTTGCACATCTTCAGCAAACACTACTTCTTGTTGCACATCTTCAGCAAACACTGCTTCTTGTTGCACATCTTCAGCAAACACTACTTCTTGTTGCACATCTTCAGCAAATACTGCTTCTTGTTGCACATCTTCAGCAAATATTGCTTCTTGTTGCACATCTTCAGCAAACATTGCTTCTTGTTGCACATCTTCAGCAAACATTGCTTCTTGTTGCACATCTTCAGCAAACACTACTTCTTGTTGCACATCTTCAGCAAACATTGCTTCTTGTTGCACATCTTCAGCAAACATTGCTTCTTGTTGCACATCTTCAGCAAACACTACTTCTTGTTGCACATCTTCAGCAAATACTGCTTCTTGTTGCACATCTTCAGCAAATATTGCTTCTTGTTGCACATCTTCAGCAAACATTGCTTCTTGTTGCACATCTTCAGCAAACATTGCTTCTTGTTGCACATCTTCAGCAAACACTACTTCTTGTTGCACATCTTCAGCAAACATTGCTTCTTGTTGCACATCTTCAGCAAACACTGCTTCTTGTTGCACATCTTCAGCAAACATTGCTTCTTGTTGCACATCTTCAGCAAACACTGCTTCTTGTTGCACATCTTCAGCAAACATTGCTTCTTGTTGCACATCTTCAGCAAATACTGCTTCTTGTTTGCACATCTTCACCCAAACATTGCTTCTTGTTGCACATCTTCAGCAAACACTGCTTCTTGTTGCACATCTTCAGCAAACATTGCTTCTTGTTGCACATCTTTAGCAAACACTGCTTCTTGTTGCACATCTTTAGCAAACACTGCTTCTTGTTGCACATCTTCAACAAACATTGCTTCTTGTTGCACATCTTCGACAAACATTGCTTCTTGTTGCACATCTTCAACAAACATTGCTTCTTGTTGCACATCATTAGCAAACAATAGTTCTTCATATTAAACTTCTTAAGGAAACGTTCCCCTTGAGTGAATACTAATGCATATTTTCTGTCATCCCATTGATGTTTAGTAGAGTTCTTTACACAGTGAGTTTAAGATAATACAAATTTAAATGAATAACTAAGGGTGAATCATCTCTGAGGTGCCCGGAGACTGTGCAGGTATGGAACTCTACTAGATACATCAGATATGAGCAAGTAGGCCTACAGAATAGGCCTAGAGTAGTGGTGGTTTGTTCGTCAGGAAACAGAAGTGTTTCTTGACACGTTCCTTAAATTAGGACCCGGTTGGCTAGTTATTAGAAAGAATGCTTGTTTCATACTCAAAGGGCTATTTAGGCTGCGTGTCATCCGTTCACCACCAGTCATGAATAAATTAATCCCTTATAACTGCCCGTCCTCTTAATCACAGACATCATTTCACTGTTGTAAAGACAAATGGGTGGCTGATGATGCGTGCCTTAAACATTAAAAAAAATCCTTGCATAACTACCATAGCAGAAATTTGCTGCAAACCGCTTGAGAGAAATCAACACAGATGCTTTTGGAAGGTAAGAGAATGAGTTGCTTAACAAGGGATCAAAGAAAATGCACATGATATGTACTCCAAGAGGTGTACGTATCCTATGTGTTGGTTTGTTAATTAGCTGGAGCTTCTGGTCACATGGCCGAGACCTTCCACTGGCTTACCGGTCCACCCCGTTAAAAATTAAAGACCACATTATGTGAGAGCTATTAACTGGTTGAGAATATCTGTATTATTCTTGTGCTGTGTCTATGTGCCGCTTGATCAGTCAGTTTAAGTCTCCTTGGGTCTGGCTAGTAAATGGACAAATGGCTGGAGTTTACCTGGAGAGAGTTCCGGGGGTCAACGCCCCCGCGGCCCGGTCTGTGACCAGGCCTCCTGGTGGATCAGAGCCTGATCAACCAGGCTGTTGCTGCTGGCTGCACGCAAACCAACGTACGAGCCACAGCCCGGCTGATCAGGAACTGACTTTAGGTGCTTGTCCAGTGCCAGCTTGAAGACTGCCAGGGGTCTGTTGGTAATCCCCCTTATGTGTGCTGGGAGGCAGTTGAACAGTCTCGGGCCCCTGACACTTATTGTATGGTCTCTTAACGTGCTAGTGACACCCCTGCTTTTCATTGGGGGGATGGTGCATCGTCTGCCAAGTCTTTTGCTTTCGTAGTGAGTGATTTTCGTGTGCAAGTTCGGTACTAGTCCCTCTAGGATTTTCCAGGTGTATATAATCATGTATCTCTCCCTCCTGCGTTCCAGGGAATACAGGTTTAGGAACCTCAAGCGCTCCCAGTAATTGAGGTGTTTTATCTCCGTTATGCGCGCCGTGAAAGTTCTCTGTACATTTTCTAGGTCGGCAATTTCACCTGCCTTGAAAGGTGCTGTTAGTGTGCAGCAATATTCCAGCCTAGATAGAACAAGTGACCTGAAGAGTGTCATCATGGGCTTGGCCTCCCTAGTTTTGAAGGTTCTCATTATCCATCCTGTCATTTTTCTAGCAGATGCGTTTGATACAATGTTATGGTCCTTGAGGGTGAGATCCTCCGACATGATCACTCCCAGGTCTTTGACGTTGGTGTTTCGCTCTATTTTGTGGCCAGAATTTGTTTTGTACTCTGATGAAGATTTAATTTCCTCATGTTTACCATATCTGAGTAATTGAAATTTCTCATCGTTGAACTTCATATTGTTTTCTGCAGCCCACTGAAAGATTTGGTTGATGTCCGCCTGGAGCCTTGCAGTGTCTGCAATGGAAGACACTGTCATGCAGATTCGGGTGTCATCTGCAAAGGAAGACACGGTGCTGTGGCTGACATCCTTGTCTATGTCGGATATGAGGATGAGGAACAAGATGGGAGCGAGTACTGTGCCTTGATAATGGTCCAAAACGAACCGAAACGTTGTCTAAAATTTTCTCTCCAAATTAAGGGTTATTGTAGTTATGAAGTGTTTCACCTATGATGACTATGTAGACCTAGCCTGGGTCTTTGTGTCAGGTGGAGTAATGCTAGTGTAGGACTCAATCCAAGTAATTAAGAGCTATTCTCCCCTTCTTTGGATCAAACCCGACTATATCCTATTTTCCAAGTGGTGGTCGACCCCTTGGGTCAAACTCCCGATATTTTAACACGCTTCCCGAGAAGTTCCCCAGTATATACAGGTGTTTCAAAATTATGGACCCAATTTCAAAGCTGTATATTCCACAATCAGGTCTATATCACAAACGAACATTGGTGAAGACAGTACAAGCTAATATTATCAACTGTATACATGTATTTCGTTCTCTCAATGAGACCCACTTCAGTGTGAGCCGAAATTTACAGTATTCTTTTTATTTTCTCCACGTGAGTTCGTTTGTGCCATTGATCAAGTTTTATACTTTTTGAGTTTAGTAGCACATATATTTGTAACGATAATACTTTTAAAATTTAAAATATTTTCCCTCTTTCTGTTGCAACATGTTTGCGTGTGTCAGTGACAGACGGAAATGTTTTATGGCTAAA